GTCAGTCTTACGAAGAGCAAAATTCACCAATGAGTACTGAGCATCGTAGGCATCAAAAATTTCCTCATAGTCTGCCATCTTTTGTTCTTCCTTCTCTTTCTCAGCTTTACGCTGGGCCCAAGCACGAGCCTTTTCCCGGGAGCGGTAGGCTGCCAAGTCTCGAGCCTTGGCCACCATCAAGGCACTAGGTTTCACAACACCTCGAGAATACATTCTTCAGATGTCTGTCTTGAGACTTCTATTACTAAAGGTTTGTAAGAAGTAGAAGGCAAGTTCTTCTGGATATCCAAAATGTGGACTGATTTACCAAGATTTAGTTAAATTATTAAATATAGTTAGGCTAGAAGAGTAGAACAGTGGTATATGTTGTGTGTGATATCCACAGCAATATTTAATATATTTGTAGATGAATGGATATAAATATAACTATATATATTTAAGTTATATGTAAATTATATAGTTATGTTCCAAAGCCATATATATATATAATATATTATATATAATATATATATATATATATAATATATATATAATATATATATATATATATATATATATATAAACTATGTAACATAACTATATAATTTATATATAACTTAAATATATAGTTATAGATATTTATATCCATTCATCTACAAATATATTAAATATTCTAGCCTAACTATATATAATAATTTAACTAAATCTTGGTAAATCAGTCCACATTTTGGAAGACTTCAGTGATCCAGAAGAACTTGCTTTCTACTTCTTACAAACCTTTAGTAATAAAAGTCTCAAGACAGACATCTGAAGAATGTATTCTCGAGGTGTTGTGAAACCTAGTGCCTTGATGGTGGCCAAGGCTCGAGACTTAGCAGCCTACCGCTCCCGGGAAAAGGCTCGTGCTTGGGCCCAGCGTAAAGCTGAGAAAGAGAAGGAAGAACAAAAGATGGCAGACTATGAGGAAATTTTTGATGCCTACGATGCTCAGTACTCATTGGTGAATTTTGCTCTTCGTAAGACTGACTCCCAACGCAAGAATCAGCAGAAGAAAGCTTGGGCCTACAAGAAGAAGAAAAGAGCAGAAGTTGCCGAGTTCCTGAAGAATTTTGAAGAGCGTGAACTTCAGGAAAGGAAGAAAGAAAATGATAAGGTTTTGTTTCAGCTTGAGGAAGAAGCGAAGGCCTTCCTTCAAGCTTATAGCTGTTGAGTAGGTGAACATCAGCTGAGAGAAGAGTGGACTAGGCCTACTGGGGACACCACTATAAAAAAAACGAGCCTTGATGTCTACCTCTTGGGTGGCTTGGAAAAGACATTATCAATACTGATTACATACAAGAAGAGGTGATAACTGAAGTACTAGTAGTGATGATAAATGATGTGCTGGTAGTAGTGATAAATGATGTGCTGGTAGTTGTGATAACTGAAGTAATAGTAGTTGTGGTAAATGATGTGCTGGTAGTTGTGATAACTGAAGTACAAGTAGTGATGATAAATGATGTGCTGGTAGTTGTGATAACTGAAGTACTAGTAGTGGTGGTAAATGATGTGCTGGTAGTTGTGATAAGTGAAGTGTTGGTAGTTATGATAAGTTAAGTGCTGGTAGTTGTGATAAGTGAAGTGCTGGTAGTTGTGATAAGTGAAGTGCTGGTAGTTGTGATAAGTGAAGTGATTTTAGTGGTGGCAATTAAAGTGTTGAAAAACATTTTTCATGTGGTGTTCCGCTAGGTTCCTTACTGGACCACTATTGTTCCTGTTATTAGAGAGTGGGACGTGTGGTGTTCCACAAAGTTTTGTACTGGACCCCTATTGTTCCTGCTAATAGACAATGGGACACGTGGTGCTCTGCAAGGTTCCTTATTGGACCACTATTGTTCCACAATAGTGGTTCAATAAGGTTCTGTACTGAACCGCTACTGTGTTGTTCCACAAGGCTCCTTACTGGACCACTCTTGCTCCTGCTACTAGACAGTGAGACATGTGGTGCTCTGCAAGGTTCCTTACTGGACCACTATTGTTCCTGCTATTAGACAGTGGGATGTGTGGTTTTCCACAAGGTTCTGTACTGAAATGCTACTGTTCCTGAGATTCATAAACAATATACATGACAAAATGAAAGAACTCTCCCTAGCCCTGTTTGTGAATTATGTACAGCTAATGAAAAAATGAAAGCCTGGAGAAGACAAGAAAAAAAGCTTCAGTTTGACCTACACAAAGTACAAAGCTTGTCATACAAGTGGCTATTGGAGTTCAACCCTCCAGGAAGTGCAAGGTTATGGTAAGCACCCCTATAAATGTTATACTGACTCAGAGCATCCCAGAAGTAAACACAGTACTGAACATTTCTCCAGAAGTTATCAGCTGAGTAGTTTTTAAGGTAAATGTGTGAATTTCTAACCAAAGATTTTTAACTTTAACGAATCTCAGTATTGAATCATTCACGACAATATATGCAACATCTATGAGGCCTGTCATCGAGTGTGCAGCCTCAGCACGAAACCCACATCTGTTCATATATGTTAATAATTTAGAGCAGAGGTCGGTGAACATTTTTTGGGGTATTACCCCAAAACAAATTTGAATACAGTGAAATTCCCCACTAGACATAAACACAAGAATTCAAATTCAAAATAGTTTAGTGAATCCATTTGTATTCAGAATACAGTTATAAAAGCTGAAAAGTGTACTATATGAAATAAAGCAACTTTAAAAATGAAATGTAAAATTAACAAAATATTAAAATGTAAAATAAATATTTTTTTTGTGCAATTTGTGTTTATTGACCCTTTATTACCCCAGAGATTTTCACTTTTACCCCATTTGGGGTAATTTACCCCAGTTTCCTGACCTCTTAACAGAAAGTTCAGCAAGATTTATTCTAGAATAAAGAAAAAACGTAGAGCTCTTTTTTTTTTTTTTTACATTTGAAAACGTGTAAAAAAACTTTGATCTACGTTTTTTATTTTTTTTTTTTTTTCAACAAGTCGGCCGTCTCCCACCGAGGCAGGGTGACCCAAAAAAGAAAGAAAATCCCCAAAAAGAAAATACTTTCATCATCATTCAACACTTTCACCACACTCGCACATTATCACTGTTTTTGCAGAGGTGCTCAGAATACAACAGTCTAGAAGCATACACATATAAAGATACACAACATATCCCTCCAAACTGCCAATATCCCAAACCCCTCCTTTAAAGTGCAGGCATTGTACTTCCCATTTCCAGGACTCAAGTCCGACTATATGAAAATAACCGGTTTCCCTGAATCCCTTCACTAAATATTACCCTGCTCACACTCCAACAGATCGTCAGGTCCCAAGTACCATTCGTCTCCATTCACTCCTATCTAACAAGCTCACGCACGCTTGGGAAGTCCAAGCCCCTTACCCACAAAACCTCCTTTACCCCCTCTCTCCAACCCTTTTGAGGACGACCCCTACCCCGCCTTCCTTCCCCTATAGATTTATATGCTTTCCACGTCATTCTACTTTGATCCATTCTCTCTAAATGACCAAACCACCTCAACAACCCCTCTTCTGCCCTCTGACTAATACTTTTATTAACTCTACACCTTCTCACACTTTTTTTTGTTATATTTGAAAATATGTAAAAAAACGTAATCTGCTTTTGGAGCACTACGCATGTGAACGTAGATCTGTTTGGACAGTTTAAGGGTTAAAATTAAGCTCAAAGTAGCAGAACTGTTCAATTTTTGCTGATGTTCAAGAGTAAACTAATGACGTCACCGTCCAATACGTGTCCAACTGGCCAGTCTAATAAGCAGTTATGAATGTGTTGACATTATTTATACAATTATTACAATAATGCAGTAGTCTGCATAACAGTAAATCTTCATATTTTTTGTGTGAATAAAAATTCAAAATGGAAAGCAAGCATAATATAAGAGGGGCCTGGAGATGTGACTAATGAACAGAGAAAATGTTATTTTAGTGCCAAGAATGTCTGCATTATTTATTCTGGACCCTATTTTGAAACTGGCATCTTTTGAAATTTGTGTGAAACTAGCCAAGTAAAATGTACATTCTCTTCTTTGCCTCCATGGATAGCGTTCTTTGTCTCCACAGATACCTCAACACACCATTCACCTTTTTTTCCTTCATCAATTCTATGGTGAACTTCATCCTTCATAATCCAATCCGCTGACAAGTCAACTCCTGAAAACATTCACTTCTTGCATACTCCCTCCCTCCAATGTAATATCCAATTACATTGGATATTACATTGTAATTGGATATTACAATGTAATTGGATATTACATTGTAATTGGATATTACAATGTAATTGGATATTACAATGTAATTGGATATTACAATGTAATTGGATATTACATTGTAATTATATGGTAATGATTTCACAGCTTCTGACAATTCAAGGTTTTTTTTCCTTTACACTAATGGGGGGGTTTAAGTAAGAAACCCTAGTATACACCACCCAAGCTAAGAGTTGTCTCAATTTTTGATGGTCATAAAACCTACAGGACAAAAACTGAGAAATGGAAAAGCTACACATGAATAAGTGAGACACTGATATTTATACAACCCTCAACTATGTAACTTTCATACTTAACATTCTAGATAATAATAGTACTTCAGTATATATGCTATACCAAACCCCTCATACACTGTATAATGAAGTACTGTATTATACCAAACACTCACAGACCCATAAGAATTTAATTAAGTTACAATTTTCAGTATTAATTAGTAATTTCTCCTTTGTCCAATCTTTGAGATGTGATGCAGTAACATTTGATGACAACTACAGTATACAGAAAATATATAGTAAATAATCAAATGTGGTTTGCTTTAAAAATTATATGCAATATACAGTGGTTAGTAATGCAGAAAAATATTAGAAAATATTAAGCAGTGAAAGATGCAGATCATACAGCCTTAGCGCTTACTGGCAGGTTAGTTAAATGATCATACAGAATCAGATTTCCATAAATTGGATTCATAAAATTTAAGCAATTCACTTAAATGCAATAATTGGCTAATTACATATAGCTCTGGCATCTGACTTTGACCGTGGCCTGAAGGAGTCAAAGAAACCTTGTGGGCCGCCTTCCTTACGACGGCCACTCGCAACGTTGCTTGTGGCACTAGATGCAGCGGCTAGAATATCATCTCCTGATTTACGACGTTGGCGGAGAGAAGCTGAAATAATGAAAACCAAAGAAAATGATTTTACAGAAAATAACAACGTAAGCAGAGAGGAAAGTCGTACCAGCAGTAATGAAAAATACATGTCAATGAAATTATATAGGAAAATAATAGCAAAATCTTAATATCATAATTGAAGAGATTGAAATGCTTGAAGGTAACATAAATCAATAATAAAATTTATAAAAGCATTATAACCTACCAGACTGATATTTAAAATGAACATTACTTAATTGATAATAATATATCCCACACTAAACAAAATAATACATACTTATCAGAAGTGAATCAGAAATAAAAAAATATGAAAATTAAACTGCCTGGAATTTCTGGTTGATTATTTTTCAGTGACAGAATATTATCACACAAACATAACATTTAATAGCACTAAATGTAGATCAACTTATAAAAGATCTGCTTCATTTTTCTGAGGATAGTAAAAAATTACACCAACTTTGTGCTGACAAATTTCCCTTCATTAGAGCTCTTCAATGTAGTTATCATGTACAGTATCAATGTTACAGCATCACTGGTGTACATTATGCAGAACAAACATATGTAGGTAGTTGCTTTTGGTTTCCATAACACCAGTACAACATAATATACATATTATATTCTACCATCAAAACATATAGCTGCTTCTTAAAGCATTCCATCCCTAATGACCTTATGAAGTTCTTGCTTTGGTGACCTTTTTTATTTTTTTTTTTTTCAAATTAAGATTTTATCTTTACCTCTGAACATCTTTTTCTCTCAATAGCTCATAAGCCAATTGCAAGTATATTTTCTGCAATCTGCCCATACACATATTACACACTACATATTATACCACTTCATTATCTCTCTTGTAATATGCATGTCAAATGAACGTCATTAACTGGATCTCTCACCCCCTCCTCCCCTCCTCTATCTTTCTCAAATCTTCATCTTAACTTGAAATTATTATAATTTGTGTACACTACAATACAGTCAAACTTCGGTTTTCGTATACCCTAGTTTTCATACAATTTGGTTTTCGACAACTTTTCTCGTCGAAATTTTGTCCCAGTTTTCATACATCCACTCAGTTTTCGTACAGTTGAAAATAATCCATACCAAAACTCGTCTGCCTGCCCGTGTTCACGACTTAGCCTGCCTTTGTTTCTCGTTGAGTGAGCATCACCCAAAGTGTTCACCCGAGACATTTCATAATAATCCATTGTTTTTTGTGCTTGTTTATTGAGTATGACTGCTAACTAAGCCACCAAGGGGCCAAAGAAAGTTCCGAGTGCCAGCCCTTAGATAAAGAAGGCAAGAAACATGAAAGAATTCAAGAAAGAACTCGTAGCAAAGTACGGAAGTGGCATACGTGTGACCAATCACACCAGGATGTACAAGAAGTCCACATTAATGATCAGTTCCATCCTGGCGAAGAAAAAAGAAATCAAGGAAGTTGATGTTGCAAAAGGGGTAAATGTGCTAATGAAACAGAGATCACAAAAAATCAAAGATGTTGAGAAGTTGTTGTTGGTGTGGACCAACGAAACACGGTTAGCGGAAGATAGTGTTTTGGAGGCAATAATTTACAAAAAGGCAAGGTTGTTGCATGTGGATTTCGCAAAAAAAAAAAATGCCTGGAACGAGTGCTGCTGTTAGTGAATTTAAGGCCAGAAGAGGCTGGTTCGACAAATTCAAGAAGCAAACTGGCATACACAGTGTGATAGGGTATGGCAAGGCTGCAAGTTCAGACAAACATGGGGCCAAAGAATTCGTTGATGAATTCAAGGAGTATGTAAAGGCTGAAGGATTCCTCTCCCAACAAGTCTTCAATTGTGATAGAACAGGCCTCTTTTGGAAGAAAATGCCAGAGGACCTACATCATGCAGGAGGAAAAGGCACTGCCTGGACACAAGCCTATGAAGGATAGGGTAACTCTGTTGTTCTGTGCTAACGCTAGTGGGGATTTCAAAGTGAAGCCTTTACTCGTGTATCACTCTGAAAATCCCAGAGTGTTCAAGAAAAACAATGTCATCAAGAGTAAACTGTTTGGCCCGAGTGTGAATACCTCCTGGAAAATCAATTGCCGCTCAAGTGCCTCCTGGTACTGGACAATGCTCCTGCTCATCCTCCAGACTAGGAAGACCAACTGTTGGAGGAGTTTAGTTTCATCAAAGTGAAGTTTTTGCCCCTTAACCCTTTCAAGGTCCGTGCCATAGATCTACGGCTATACGTTGAGAGTCCAAACCGTAGATCTATGCCATGAACTCAGCTCACTCTGATAAGCTGTGAGTGGTAATTTTGGGCCTAGGTATGAGAGAATACATCTATGTGGTATGTGTGCACTACATAAAACAAATCCTGCAGCACAGCACGTAATGAGAAAAAAAAAACTGAGACCGTAATTTTTTATTAAAACAGCGACTTTGCAGTGTTTTTTCGTATGTTTTTTATAGTTGTATTTGCGATTTCTTGGTCTCATTTGATAGAATGAAAGATATATTACAGAAATAGAGAATATTTTGATTGGTTTTAGTAATGGAAAAAGCTTGAAACTGAGCTCAAAGAAGCAGAAATGTTAAATTTTTGCCGATGTTCAAGAGTAAACAAATGACCTCACACGTCTAATACACACCAGGTGGTGGGTCTAATAAACATTCACAAATGTGGTAATATTATTTACACAGTTATTACAATATTGCATAACAGTAAATCTATTTTTTGGTTTGAATAAAAATTCATTATGTAAATAAAAAATCAAAATGGAATTCATTTGTAAAGCCTGAAAATGTAACTAATGAACAGAGTAATTGTTAGTTTAGTGCCAGGAATGTCTGCATTGTTTATTCTGGACCTTATTTTGAAATTAGAATATTCTGAACTTTGCATTAAACTGGACAAATTACTAATTTCCAATCACTTTATTTTGTAGTTGAAACAGTTGAGTTGGCAATTTCTTGTGCTCAATCGATAGAATAAAAGTAATACTAGTGAAATAGCTAAGAATTTGGTCAACTGGAATAATGTAATTGGCCTAAAATGGGAGTCAAAGTCAGCAAAATCCCCAATACGTAAATATCGTCGACACACCAAAATTCGCGAGAGCATAATTTCTTCAATTTTCCATCAAATTTTGTACTTTTTGTTTTATTACCTTCAGAAAAAGATTCTCTAGCATTTCATAAGAAAAAATAACAAAATTATTTTTTGAAAATTCTTGGACCCTGGTGCGCACTTTGAAATTTGGCTTCTGGACCCTGAAAGGGTTAATACCAATCCTCTCATCCAGCCCATGGACCAGCAGGTCATTTCAAACTTCAAAAAACTCTGCACCAAAGCACTGTTTCAAAGGTGCTTTGAAGTGACCTTGGACACTGAATTAACCCTAAGAGAGTTCTGGAGGAATCAATTCAATATCCTCAAGTGCATAAGCCTTATAGGTAAGGGTTGGCAGGGAGTGACTTCAGGACAATGAACTCTGCTTAGAGAAAATTGAGGCCATAATGTGTCCTCAAGAAGGATTTTGAAGGGTTTGAGGCTGATCCTGATGCCCCTATGCCTGCTGTGGAATCTATTGTCTTTGGGGAAGTCCATGGGGTTGGATGTGAGTGGCCAGGATGTGCAAGAGATGGTGGACGACCACAGGGAAGAGTTAACCACTGAAGAGCTGCAAGACCTTCAACTGGAACAGCAACAGACCGCAACTGAGGAAATTGCTTCAAAGGAGAAGGAAGAGAGAGGGGAGAATGTGCCTTCCAAAGTGATTAAGGACGTGTGCAAAGTAGAGTGAGCTGCAAACTTTTGTGGAGAAAAATCACTCTAACAAAGCTGTTGCAAGCCATGTCTGCAACATGTTCAATGACAATGCCTTGTCCCATTTTTTTCAAATCTTAAAGAGACACCAGAAACAGACCTCTCTGGACAGATTTTTTTGTGCGACAAGGGTCCAGTGACTCTCAAGCTGGTCCTAGTGGCAGTAAAAGACAAAGAAGGGAAGTAAACCCAGATAGGGCCTTGATACCTGAATTACTTATGGACAGGGGTTCCCTTTCCAAACAATAACCTCTCCTCCTCCCTCTCCCCTCCTCACCATCTTCCATACACCAACAAGAGTCTTCAATAAAGGCAAAAGTGATGTTAAAAATTCATTTATCCATTTTAATAGTCATTTATATTTATTTCTCATTGTTTTCTGTATATAAAACTATATTCTCTATAAAATGTGTTTTACTGTTAATATTTTTGGGTGTCTGGAATGGATTAATTGGATTTACATTATTTCTTATGGGAAATATTGCTTCAGCTTTCATACATTCGGTTTTTGTCAAACTTTTTTGAACGGATTAATCACGAAGACCGAGGTTCCACTGTACTAGTAAAATATTCATCTACAATACAAGTGGTCCTGGACTTTTCACAATTGGACTTATGGAGGTTATAAGTCTGCTTAATTTCTAGTCCCAAACATGATATGATAAGCAGAGCATGCAAACCATCAAATTTATTGTCAATATTTAGAATTTCTTAAATCTGTATAGTAAGAGATAAAACTGATTAAATTATCAGGCACAGTACTGAAAAACAAATTAATTCATTAAAATAAGTGACTTCTAGCTACATAACACTCACTTATGTTTTTCCATATAATTATTTGAAAAACAAGTTACTCAGTATCAGCATACTCTTTTTGATCAACAATGCTATTATGAAAAACATATAACCAGTAACACTGCACATGTCACATGACCTTTGCAGCATTCCAGCTGAAAAAGCAGTATGATGTGGCACTTTGGTATTGGCTTTTTGTCTATCAACAGTGGCAAAATTATCTTGGGAGTCTTTTTTGCTCCCACCATATACAATCCAGATTTTACAATAATTACTGCAATTTAAACAGAAAATATGTTAACTACAAATAAAATGATAAAGAAATTACAAATTTCTTATACATAATGCCAAATTTAAAAGAAAAAACAAAGGCTTGTACAGTAATGTACTTTCCTAATAAGAGCCAATCC